CTGAACGATGACTAATAAAGAATTATAATGCCAAACAAACTTAGTGCTCATTAATTTATATAATTATTTCTCAATTTTTTGTAAGGGAATGTCTATGAAAATAGTACATTGTTTGACACAAAACCATATTCTTCAAACATGAAGCATAATGTTCATGTGACTTCATTATTTGATTATAATACTCTACATCAGAGGATCATGCATGATGAACATCACACACTCTCTTGCTCACTCCCTCAAAAAAAAAAACAATCAGCCAAAATTTTTTCAGGAGAAATGGAGAACCCTGAATGCACGTTCACCAAATTAGTAAAAGATAAACAAACTTTCAAATATTTTATATGTATTTGTAATGTTTATGGGCCCAGTCCTGCACACATGTATGTGTGTAATTTTATTCACACAAATATCCTATTGAGGTCAATGTGGCTACTCATGTAAGTATAGTCATGTATCTCTCATTGGACCCAAGTTCAAAGTTTTCTGTTGCTCCTCAAAAAGGGTTGCTTATTATTTATTATTTTTTCCTGGACATGGATGAAATGGATAGTGGTGGATTATTCTTCTTTCAATTACCATGCTTTTATATTGAGATCTTTTTCTTATTGACTCCGTCCTCCTCCTAAGTGTCTATGGGCAGGTACAGGGTATAAAAACAGGCATATGGAAAGTGGTGTGTAAATTATTCGGAAATGAGAAATGTATGTGATATAACAGTGGGACTACTCATGTGAGTAAAGTTACTGTGTAAGAGTTTGCATAAGACCTGTAGTCTGCTAGTATGTTCTGAGTTCTAGATCCTAAATAATATTTTTGTGTTGTAGGGGCCTACTTAAAAAGCACTTCAGTTCACCTTCAAGACCTTACCATACCAAAGGGGGAGTGAAATGCATTTGTAGTGCTTCATGACAACTTGTGACAAAGCATATGATAAAAGATGATGTTAAAAGATTTTGTGGGTTTAATACGTGGTTATATAGCACTATTTAATTTAATAATAATAATAATAATTAATAATACAAATGCAAATTGCACCTATTGCTGCTGCCAAAAGATGCCTCTGTTTCTGCTGCAGTTTGCTAGAGAACATCCCTCCAGTTGAATAGAATTCTAACACATGCTATGATACCAAGTATATACAGCATCAATTGAGTGTTTAATGTGCACGCAGCATATTGTTCAGCAAAGAGGTGGCTATAATAAATGTGCTACCTTTATTGTACTATTTGGAAATCTAAATGATTTGTAAACTCTTAGAGTATGAAATCTTCAACAGGGTTTCAAATGCTATATATATCATCTCTGTTGTTGTTTGCCTCTGAAATTTACAGGTTGCTTTTCGGGCAGTCTCTCTCTCTCTCTCTCTCCCCCCTATGTCTCTCGGAATTTACAAATTTTCAAAGTATTATTTTTATTTCATATATGACTTAGAATATTTGCTTTAAGATTATTCATGTACGTTGGTTGTACTTCTGGGAAAGGGGTTAGCTTCAGTAGTTGCTAGAAATCCCATTTTCAAATGACGGTTCAGTTAAGGTTAGAAAACTATTGAAAATCAACCTTAAAATGGAACACTGTTTACAGCTTTAACTAGAGAGAGACTACTGGTCTTGCCATAAAACATCTTAATTTCTGTGTAATTTGTTTTATTGTCTGATACTTTTTTCTGCTCCTTTTCGGTATCTTCCCATCATTTCTTGACTCCTTTTCCTGTTTACACAGGGTCAGAGGTGCCCACGTTTCTTTGCCATTCCTTGCAGTCCATGGTACAGGTTTGTAAGCTTGGCGGTCCAGGCCTTTTCTCTTCAGGCTTCTCTTGACAGGGTCTTTCCATCATATCCTGTCTTCCTTTCTTGCTGTTCACTTCCTCCCATTTTTTCTTTGCTTGTCGTCATGCTCCCATTCTTATCACATGTCCAGCTCACCTCAAACGAGCCAGCCTGTCTGTCACTGAGTGTCCCAAGTTAATCTTCCTCCTGCTTTCTTCCCTGTACACTCTGTCTACCCTCTGCATGCTAGCTATTCACCTCAGTATATTATTGTCTACTACGTATATCTCCTTTTCTTCCATCTCTGTAAGACCCACCATTTCCAAACCATACAGCAGGTGGGACAAACACGCAGCATACACTGTTGGTTTCAGTTAGTTACTTAGTTGCCCATCCCACAGTACTTCTGTCACCGTTTTCACAGCCGCCCATGCACATTAGTTTCTTGTTTTCACTTCTCCAGTTCTTTCTCCGAAGGCACTAAATGTACTTCCCAAGTACACAAATTCTTTCTTCTGATTGTTTTTCTCCTGGAATGTCAACCACTCTGTCAACCACTCAGTCAACTGCTCTGCTTCCACCTTCCCTACTTGCATAACTTCAGTGTTCTTTGTGTTTGCCTTCAAATACAGATGCCCACTCTGATACCATATTTACCAATTCCTCTTTGGCCTGGGCTACACAGGAGTGGGGGGGGCTTTTGAACTAAGATACGCAACTTCAGCTACGCTATTAGCGTAGCTGAAGTCGAAGTATCTCAGTTCGACTTACCTGGCCGTCCTCATAGTGGCGAGTCGACCGTGGCGGTTCCCCCATCGACTCCGCTTACTCCTCCTGCTGAGGTGGGAGTCAGGCGTTGATTCAGGAATCGATTTATCATGTTTAGATGAGACGCGATAAATCAATCTCCGATAGAGCGATCACTACCTGCCGATGTGGCGGGTAGTGAATTAATGCCCTTAGCTATCAGCCAAAAGGGACAGCACACGTTAGTTTTCTCTGTGGCTCTGCAGTCTTGCTGCTTCTACTAATGAACTTCATAACTGGAAGAGAAGTGGACTCAGCACACTGCTTTGTCTCCCACATCACCTCAGAACTCTCTGAAATTCCATGTATAGTTACCACCTTAGCTCATGATCCTTGGTACAGCTCCTTTGTCATCTCCGCTTCTTGAAGTCCCTTTCCTATCCGTCTCAATATTCCAAACACCAGCTCCCAAGGAACCAAGACATATGCTTTTCTCAGGATTAGTCAGTACTGCATAGCAATTAAATCCTCCATTTATCATTCTTTCAGATTTCAGTCTCATGGCAGATATTGTGTTTATAGTACTCCTTCCCTTCCTAACACCATGTTGCTCCGTTTCTATAGTTTTCTATACCTTGCATCTCAGTCTTTGCTTCCAGAATTCTCTCAAGGGCTTTGAGAAGCTGACTTAACAGGATGATGCCCCAGTAGGTGTTTGGATAATTTGTATCATCCTTATCCTTTCAGAGAGGCACAATCAATCCCATTCTTCAGTCATCTGGTATCCTACCTTGGTCTAATAAATCACATACCTGTGAAACCATGTTAGTCCAGTATCTCCAGTGACCTTGATCATATCAACAATTTTTATGTTCACCAATTGCTTTACCAATCTTTCTCTTATTCAGTGCTGCTTCTGCCTCCTCTGTAGAGATCAGTATCTTTTGAGACTTCCCCATAATTGTTGGTGCTTAAATGATAAGCGAAAGCTGCAAATGGAACAGCCTATGAAAATATGTTTTCCATACCTCTACCATCTCCGTAGAGTTGCTCACCACACAATTCCTATTCTTCTCACATAAAGAATTCTTCATATCTCATGCTTCATTGTTTCTCTATTTGGCCAGCCGCAAAACCAATTTCCTGCCACCATCTTCCTTCAGCTTTCAGTATCATTCCTCTTCTGCCTCCATTCTTACCTCAACTGCCTTTTTAGCCTCAATTTTTGCTTGCATTTTTTATTCTCATGATCACTAGCTGCTTCCTCAAACTCTGAATTATTCATTCTTTCTTTTTAACTTCTCTTTTACATCAGACTTCCACCACCAGCTTGTTCTCTCTGAAAGCACCCCATCTTACCACTCGTTCTGCCACATGTTACCTCTGCTGCTTTGATGAAACATTCTTTAAAATTCCTCCATTCTCCCTCCACTGACTTCATTGTTCGTGGCAAAGTATGAAAGCCTTCCTTCCCCCCCCCATAAAAGTGGAGGAAAAGTGAACTTTCTCTCCCCTCCTCCCCATATCTCTATTTATATAACCACCAATGCAACTGCTTCCTCAGCATCATCTTTTTTTCCTGGTTTCTCAGGCTGCAATTCTTTTAGCTGTTAATACTTTGTTGTTCTGCCACATAATCTCTCAGTATAACCTTTTTTGTCTTGCACCATTTTCATATGTTCTCTTCTTATCAAAATACAGTCTACCCGAGGCATGCTTTTTCCACTGTAGCATGTCATCAGGTGGGATTCTCTTTTTTGAACCATGTATTCGCCACTGAGAACCCATTAAACAAACAGTGCTCAACGCATTTCTTTCCTTCTGCCTTTCTTTTACCAAAGCCAGGTTTACCCACCACTCGTCTGCTGGGCACCCTTCACCTGCATGGCAGTTTTAGTCACCACTAACAAGGAGTTACTCTCAACCATGACCACTAACTCTGCCAGATCATTTCTAAAGCTCTCCGTCTCTTGCATAGTTCTACCTTGTTTAGTAGCATATGCTGATCTAACACACACAGGCCTACTCTCTATCTTCAACATTCTACCATCCATCGGTCTCCTCTTCTTTCTACCCTTATGAAAACCTCAGCAATGTCTGGGCTCACAATGAGAGCTCCTTTCTGGTAGATTGTATTCGTTTTGTAGGTATTGACACTGTACACACTATACTGTACCTGTTTTTAAATGTAATACATTTTTATATTTGTTTACTCTTCTTGAATTGTTGAGCTAGTCTTGGTGTCCCAAGGCCATCACATTTTAAAAAGGAGGCTATTTTTAAATATTGTATTAAGAAGTATACATTAATATCCATAGGTGTGCAATTTCCATTCAGTAGGCTGGAACAGAGACACACTTTCCATCCTTCAACATCTTGGACATAGAACACATGTTTCTAAAGTTTATAGAGAAATATATTCCTTTTCTGTTTTACCTTTCTTTATCAAGCATTAACATCTAAAATTTTTACCATTTTATTTAGGTTCCGAACATTATTTGTAGCTGGTGAACGCTGTGATGTGGAGACATTAGAATGGTCCAAAAAAGTCTTCAAGGTCCCAGTGTTGGATCACTGGTGGCAAACTGGTGAGCACTTTGCAATATTGTTTGAAATTCTCCCTCTCACCAAGCTTTACAGACTTGATTCCTGTTTTCTGCAAAGCAATCACTACAGGTGGATTCTTCCATCCATGTGACTTCCTATTTATGTTTGCCTGGGGACGGAAAGCAGTATGTGTTTAGCAAACTGTGTGTTTAAAATAATGTGGGAAACACAATATAGTGTTTTCTGATACCTGCATTTAAAAGATTTAACATCATTATTATCATCACTATATTTCCATCTGTAACAATATTATATATGTACATGTGTTATCACCTCACACAAATCTTGATCTATTAGAGAAGCTTTTAGATTTATTTTATACACTCTTCAGTGTATTTTATGTATGAAAAAATATGGCACACAATAGGCTCCTCAGTTTTTGGTTATGTTCCATTTGGACTTGATCCAGCACCCATTAAATGACTACCATTGACTTCAATGGGAGCTGGATCGAGCCCTTAGATCACACTGGGAGAATCAAAAGCACCAGTGTGTGTGTAACTGTGTGTCACAAATTCTGGTGACAGACAGCTTGCTTCTGGCAGTTAGACTGAACAGCTCTTTACCATAACTCTGAATGATGTGGGTGTCTCAGTTTTTTTATCTCTCTCTCTCTCTATATATATATACTCTGTGTGTGTGTGTGTGTGTGTGTATACTGTGTGTGTGTGTGTATATATATAATGTGTATGTATGTAAAATTGTGACGGGTCAGGCCAGATGGCTACAGGAAAGTGATAGAAGGCAGATATATTAGCTCCAGGTTAAGTAACAGGGAAGGTTCCAGAACAATCCGGAACTTTCTGGAAACAATTAAGGCAGACAGGCTGATTAGAACACCTGCAGCCAATCAAGAAGCTGCTAGAATCAATTAAGAGAGGCAGGCTAATCAGGGTACCTGGGTTTAAAAAGGAGCTAACTTCAATTTGTGGTGTGCGTGTGAGGAGCTGGGAGCAAGAGGCACTAAGAGCTGAGAGTGAGAAGGCGTACTGCTGGGAGAACTGAGGAGTGCAAGCATTATCAGACACCAGGAGGAAGGTCCTATGGTGAGGATAAAGAAGGTGTTGGGAGGAGGCCATGGGGAAGTAGCCCGGGGAGTTGTAGCTGTCGCACAGCTGTTCCAGGAGGCACTCTAGACAGCTGCATTCCACAGGGCCCTGGGCTAGAACCCAGAGTAGAGGGTGGGCCCGGCCCCGGTTCCCCCCAAACCTCCCAACTCCTGATCAGACACAGGAGGAGTTGACCTGGACTGTGGATTCACTAAAAGGGCCAAACAGGGCTGCTGTGAATCTCTGAGGCGAGCAAATCTGGCAATAAGCGCAAGACCCACCAAGGTAGAGGAGGAACTTATATCAGAATGGGCTTCATGTGTTACATAAACTAATCACATTGGAGAAGCCTTATGCTTGGGGTTTTTTTTTTGGATCTCTTTGTGCCAAGAATATTCCTTTCAGTTTCTGTGCATCACTGTTTGATTATAGAATTTCACAGATCTTTGTATGAGGCAGAATGTCTTCTGCCTGCTCCATGATGGGTGGCATATGGAATGGACATGAGGCAGAAAAATGTGGTTTAAGGATACAATTGCCTGGAATAGAGGAGCTTCCATAGTTCTGATCTGATCTGATTTACCATATGCACTAAAATCAGTCTAGTAGGCTTAAAGTGCGGCTTATCTGTATAGACATTTCAGCACTTGTGTGAGATATTCGTAAGATAGTGGTGTTGCCTGTTACTTAATCCTTGTGTCTATTAGTTGATAAAAATAAAAGTGTTACAACATGGAGAGAGAACCTGTTTTTTCCTCCTAGTAATACTGCAACTTTAGTAATACTGAAGGATAGATTCATAAATAATATAATCCATTTTCACTTCTGATAGGTTTGAATATAACTTGCGCTGTTCGGTGCAGCTCGGGCACCCAGGCTTAACGAAAAGGCTCCCTGATGTCTGAGAACAAACATATGTCAATCCTAGGAAGAGACTGTGTTTCATATGTGTTTTTTTTTTTTTTTAATGTAGAGAAATCTTGTGATGATCCTATGTGGTCTGTTTTCACTTTGAGGAACATTTTATTAAGTGGATTTCCATTGTTGTGAAAGATTACTGATTCATATACTAAATAAGTCTTCAGTGCATTAAATTGTACCTACCCTGTAGAGATCCATTCAATTACATCTGAAAATTTTGAGCTTTGGAGCAAGACAGTTCATGCTAGGTAATGCTGGATGACTGCTGTAATTTAAGCAGGTGTTAAGACAGTTCTTTTGGTCCTGTGAATCAAAGTACATTTTATAAAAGTATTACAGAGGTACAGAATTTAATAGTTATGAATTACTGACAATCTGGCATAGAGCGAGAGGAAATCTCTCAGAGGCATGTCCCCAGCCAATTAGGGCTTCACAGGTCGATACCAAAGCCTTGCTCTCTACCTGCAAACCAACACGCAGATCAGAGCAGAGTCACAGATTCAAAGGCCAGAAGGAACCATTGTGATCATCTAGTCTGATTTCCTGTATGACACAGGCCAGGGAACTTCCCCAAAATAATTCCGAGTGCATACCTTTTAGAAAAATACGTCCAATCTTGATTTTAAAATGCAGCGATGGAGAATCTACTATAACCCTTAGTAAATTCATCCAATGATTAATTACTAACTATTAAGAGTGTACGGCTTTTATTTCCAGTCTGAATTTGTCTAGTTTTAGCTTCCAGCCGTTGGATTGCAATTGTACCTTTCTAATGAAGAGCCCATTATCAAATATTTGTCCCCCATGTAGGTACTTATAGACTATAATCAAGTTACCTCTCAACCTTCTCTTTGTTAACTAAATAGATTGAGGTCTTTGAGTCTGTTACTATAAGCTGTGTGTTTCTAATCCTTTAATCGTTGTTGTGGCTCTTTTCTGAACCCTCTCCAGTTTATTAACATCCTTCTTGAATTGTGGGCACCAAACTGGACACTGTATTCCAGCATCAGTCACACCAGTGCAAAATAGAGAGGTAAAATTACTTCTTTACTCCTACTCAATATTCCCCTGTTTACATGTGCCAGGGTCACATTAGTTCTTTTGACCACATTATCACTCTAGGAGCTCATATTCAACTAATTATCCACCAAGATTCTCACATTTTTTTCCAGTGTCACTACTTCCCAGGATAGAATACCCAATCCTGTAAGTATGGCGTGCTCACAGCTCTCACATTCTGCACTAACTTTAGTTTCCCAGATGATTTAAGGTGAAGTTCCGTGTACAGCACATTGCTGTAGTATAATATTAAAGTGACAACGTGATACCGTAATAGCAAGGCCGCATCTGAAAGAACTAGTTATGCCTTCCGGGCCAGATGCAGATGAAAAAATGTTGTCCTGACTACCACCGCTGTGTGATCATCTAACAGCACTTGGGGTTACATCAGTACCCATAGACTGCAAACTTGAGTAATAAATGATAGAGAAACACACTCTCAATTGTATGGCCAGCTATAATTCTTGCCAGTGATGACTATCTGAAAGCTCTTTAGAAGATAGGAATGAAGCCTGTGAACCCTAATGGAAGGAAATAGGGCAAGTCAACAGTGCTTTATGGCCAGTGGTATTTACGAGAGCCGATAGATCTGACATATGTATCAGAGGGGTAGCTGTGTTAGTCTGTATCCACAAAAACAACAAGGAATCTGGTGGCACCTTAAAGACTAACAGATTTATTTGAGCATGAGCTTTCGTGGGTCGAAGTGTTTTTTGACCCAAGAAAGCTTATGCCCAGTCTGTTAGTCTTCAGTATTAATATGGACACTTGATCTTTATCAGCAGATCATCTAGCAAGGCACCCAGAATACTCCACAGTCTGTACCCAGATGGACAGGGGTCAGGAAGATTTTGTATGTCAAAATGTTCTGAGAATTGTTTTGCAATAGTAACCTTAACCAAAAATGGAAAATTGCAATCTTGGGAAAAATCTGGCTATTATCATCAGCATCAAGTGATGGCCTCACAACAACTTCCTTTACAGAAATCAGCAACCTGTCCTACCTAGGTCATTGGCAGTCTCCAACAGCTGGGGATGCTGTTCTTCCCGGCTTGCCTTGCTCAGAAAAGAAGCACTTGGTTGGAAAGCGTGGATTGTAGCACAAAATATTCCTAACGTCTCTAGAGTAGCAGCTGTGTTAGTCTGTATTCGCAAAAAGACTCTAGTATCTCAGGGAGCATCATTGTCCTAAACTTAGCCAGAAAGTCTTAATGGCTCTGCATCTGCTGAAGTGGATATTTCAGGCCAATCAATTTTCTCTTCAAAGTAACATGCAATTTCCTCGCAATGGGAGGTACTCACTTCAGTTGGAATAACCAAAGCTGTCCATTACTTGAAACAACTCTGCTGATCAGGAGTAAGCCAATGCTAAAAAATAAACGCCTGTTTGCCTCATGCACAGCCACTGCAAAAAGGCTCTAAAATTGTTGGAGTGCTATTGGTCAGATCAAGCCTACTTCTGTCATTTGATACTCTAGACATCTTTTCCTCTCACTTTATTTTTGTCTGCTCACCTGTAAACCATGATGACCTATTAGAATGGAGCCAGGGAAGATGATATCTAGGGGTAGGGTCATTTAATCAATAATACATTTTTTGTTTTAATTTCTTTTATAGAAAGTCTTATGACAAAATATATACACGTTTTATAAACACAAACATTAAATATATAGTTTGCATATCTTAGAAGACATGATTGTATGTGTTTGGAGTAGGGGAGGTTTGAGAGACCTGCCTATGGATGGGAGTAGTGCATCTGAACATTGTGTTCATCTGTGTATAGAGAAGGGATAATTTTGTTTTGGTTTTATGCATATATTAGTGCAGGTGCTTGGTTTTTGCATATTTATAGAAAAATAATACTTTGCATTTAAATAGCACTTTTCATCTTCAAAATGGTTGTTCAAACGTGAGCTAATTAATTCTCATAACACGCCTATGAGATAGGTAAA